GACTTGACAGATACGAGTCGCAATAATTTTCGAAGGGGCGTACCGAGCGATCGTTAGCGTACTTCCATTTATTTGAAGGCTGTCAGAGGGACCGTGTTGTACTTAGGCCCAAATTAACATGGATCTGGTTAGGGATTGGCTGAATGCAAATGAGAGAAACACCCAAATTTTAGGTTCAGCCAATCAGCAAAATTTCAGAGGAGAGGAATCCAGGCGTTCCCGGAACCGTCGGGACTTCTGCCTCTCCAGAGCAGTCAGTCATTACAAGTCATTACAAGTCATTACAAGGCAATAAGAGCAGTCAGTCATTACAAGTCTTGACAAGGAAATAAGAGCGGTGAGACACCAACAGTGAGTAACAGGAGTGAGTATCGAAAAGGAAGTAACAGGAGTAACCTCCCGGACGTTAAATTGGTGTTGGCCCGAGTCCGGTGTACAAATTCAAAGTCCTACAGCCGGGTAATGGGTAATTGTAGTGAACATCTACAATAAAAGCAACAGTGTTGGTGAAGTGTGTGTTTTTGAGTGTTTTCTCTCTCCTTGTGTGAGCAAGGCCCATTAGTCGCCCTGAGACAGAATCTCGTCCTACCGTCTGAGCAGTCGGAACCCCAAACGCACGCCTATCCAAACCCCCACCTTTGTTTCCCCGTTCCAAACTCGTGGATTTCACCCAAGTCCACTGGCGCCCATAAAAATTCAAATTCAGAGCAATCCCACACCCTACCCTGAACCAGACAGCTACAAGGAAGCGGCGGATGAAAGTGCAGACCACAAAGGGGCGAACGTGACGGCGAGGTATAAGTGACGACCAACTCGAGAGGCTTGAAGTCTCACTGAGCGGTAACGACGACGACGAAGAGGAGGGCGGTAATAAGTAATTTCTGTTAGAGGCTGAGTCAACCCCAGGGCCATAGTGCGGCTGGAAGGAATAGGTCAATTGAAAAAATCCAATGACCTCATCAGGACTTGAACCCGCGACCTCCAGGCTTGCAGCATAGCCCCTCAACCAATTATGCTACCGCGTGCCCCACTTCTGTTAAGTGTATCGTGGGTATTCTGTGAGTGTTGATAATACAAGTATTTCGATTTGGACATATGAAGTGCAATATACTATACAAGGAGACGGTTTACGGTTGACGATTTGTGCGTATTATTCGTGGGACATAGCGTTAAATGTCAGCCTCACCATATCATTCAGTGAGATGCAGGACTGGAAAGGAACGTAAGAGAAAGCACAGCAAGTTGATAATATGAACGCTCATATGGTCAGACTCCCTGGTGTGTTCTCAATTTCACAGCTCTGTTCCATTCTGTATCAATGCCGAGTTCGGGGCAATATTTCTAAGCCCTCTAATTTTTTTTTCATTGGCGCTGCAGCCCTCATTTGGGCCTAGGCCTACCTCCAAGAAACTCTCCGTTTCACTTGGGTTTACTAGATCTTAGACATACGGAAGGACTCCTTGGGCGGGGTGATCAGCTCGTCGTAAGGCCTCTACCTGTACACAAACACAGAAAAACGCACACAAACATGCATGTCCTGAGTGGGATTCGAACCCACGATCCCGGCTTCCGAGCGAGCGAAGACAGTGCATGTCTTAGACCGCTCGGCTACCGTGACCGGCAAGCCCTCTAAATACCGACAGTTATCTACAGCAGAGCTTCTCAACCGCCGGGCCGCGGCCCAGTAGTGGGCCCTGGCATCAATTATACTGGGCCGCGAGAAGCTCTTCTGGAATTTGTCATTTTCATTTTCTAAGCATTTTTCATGAATAAATATTTATAGTGGAAATATTCTGAGGAGAATAATATTTGTGTCGAGAAGCTCAGACACAGAACACCTAAATCTGTGTAGCAAATGTCAGTGACCAAGCCGCATATTTTTAAACATGGAAGTATTCATGAATGATCGGGAATTTTCAGACATCCAAATCTTTCAACCTTCGGGAAAGGCAATACCGATGTTTATGGCCAGTCATAAAAATTGTCTGCAAGCCGATTACAACAATGGGCGGCATATCCTCTGTTCTCAGAACTGAGCGAAATAACATCTGTGTTGCAAATGTCAGTGGCCAATCAGCAAGGAAGTATAAAGAAAATGTTTCCACTGAAATTGAAGATCAAGGAAGTATCCGGTTCTCAAATCTAGTAATACTGAATACTGTTTCTTCGCAAGTTCTCATTGCAGTGTGTAGGTGCTTGTGTCGAAACCTGAGTGAAGATGTTTTCGTTTGAAAAATATTATCCCGAACATGAGGATCCCCGGAGGCAAAATATGTGGATTGTGAACCCTTCTGTTGAACACAAAGAGACAGCCCTTTCCCATGAAGAAACCCTTAAACTTATTGAATTATCATCGGACAAAGGACTGGAAAGTACGTTTAATACTACGAATAATTCGAAATTCTGGATACGAATGAAAAATGAATATCCAAATTTACATGAAATAGCAGTGAGATTTCTTCTTTGTTTTTCCACCACATACCTTTGTGAAACTGCATTTCCTGCCATGACTGTGCTTAAAACGAAACAGAGGAACTGCCTGCAACTTTCTGACTGTCTCCGTTTGGCTCTCACTTCAATTCATCCCAGAATTAATAAGCTAACGGACGGAAAACAGAAACAGAAGTCTCACTAGCCTAACTAAAACCTTCCAAACTCAGTTGTGATAAAAGAAACTAAGTTTAACTTTCAATAACTTATAATTGCTGTGTTGAAGTGCTGCGTCTTTAAAATCAAAACATTAATTAGTGTTGGAAGTAGTGTTTAGAACTGAGAGATTCATACATTTTTATTTATCAAATTATAGGTACATACTTTACATATATAATTTTTTGGCGTGTATATAAGTGATAATAAGTGTTTCTCCGACAAGTTGACATCCTTCTGCTTCTTCCCCTACTCAGCTGACTTCTATGGTCAGTTACAATGCATAACTATTTTTCTCACTGCCGTTTTTTTCAAACCAACATCATTAAAAACAATTTAATAATACAATAATCAATTTTACGCTGAATAACATAAGTTTTTGGTGATCAGCATGGGATATGTCAATGAAATTTAGCACAAATTAATTTAATGATGTTGATCTGAGAAAACTACAAAATGCTACAAGATTTCATTAGTCCAGTGATTGTAAATAAAAAGTAAAGCTATCCCTGCAAGAGGCCGTGAAGGCCCATACGGTTGTGAGACGTTGAGGGTCCCACATTATCTAGACAATCAGCTCAAAGATGGCGGTAACGTTCTCAGCCTTACGCGCCGGCAGCGCTAGTCCAGTGGTTGATAACTAATTTAAATGTAATTTTATGTTTGTCAACATGCCACACCGTATACATAATTGTACTAATACTCTTTATGATTATGCTATAATTAATTACTAATATTACGTTAGCTTAATGAATGAACTTTAACAAAACTGGAAAGGTATTTACGAATAAATTTGTTGGGACTGGGCCCTCGTCTTATAAAAAAAGAACTTACTGGGCCGCGGTCTCATAAAGGTTGAGAAGCACTGATCTACAGGACCGCTTCTGTGGTCTAGTGCTCAGAGTTCCTAGCTACAGATCCAGAGGTCCCGGGTTCGATCCCCGGCGCTACCAGATTTTCTGAGAAGTAGTGGGTCTCGAATGGGATCCACTCAGCCTCGTGAGTATAATCGAGGAGCGATTTAAAGGAAATGGCGACTCCGGTCTAGAAAACCAAGATTAAAGGCCGTAGGGATTCGTTGCGCTGACCACGCAAAACCCTCTATCTGCTAAAATTGGCATTAACTTCGCCGACAAGCGGCGGTCGCTCCGTCGGTATAGTTCGCTTGCGGACTACAGGACACGGAGTTGTTTATTTCTACAAGCAGTGTTAATGCTCTTGCACTTTATAACCATTTTGCTGTATTCTCTATAACGTTACCCGAACTGTCGTGAAGCATTCACACGTAGGCGCTCGTCTCCTCATGTAACAGGTGGGTTAGCTAAGGCATCACACTTTGACCTACCGAAATAGCATAGTGACGTACCGGACATCAATGACTCGTCGACCTTTGCAAGTTGAGAATGCAGAAGAAGTTGTACCATAGCCCAGTCTGTTCGATGACGGCTTCCCATTGCTGGGGCAATGATTCAATTCAAGTTTTTTTCCCTTGGCACTACAGCCCCAGTGGTCCTAGGCCTATCTCCATAAACTTCTCCGTTCACTTCGGTTTTTCTAGATCTTACACATTCGGTAGGACCCCTAGGGCGGGTGATCAGCTCGTCGCAAGGCCTCTACCTGTACGCAAACACAGAAAAACGCACACACACAAACTAAACATCCATGCCCTGAGTGGGATTCGAACCCACGATCCCGGTTTCCAAGCGAGCGAAGACAGTACATGCCTTAGACCGCTGGGCTACCGTGATCGGCTCAATTCCAGGTTAATTCATGTAAAATTCGTGGCGCTTGAAATGGCACTGTTGGGCGGTTTCCTCCGAGTTTTATAATCATCAACCTACCATTATTCCATATTCATTTATCACCGTCCCATGAGCTGTACGATAGCCCTGATCACGCAGAGCACTATCACACATTCGGTCCGTAGTGTGGGGGCTTTAACTCCAGTCAGGAACTCGGCTGGTCTCAGAGTGAGGGAGTGAAGCTCCAGGAACATAAGGAGAGACACCTCCACCCACACTCCTCTTATCTATGAGAGTAGCAGTTGATAATTTTACGTAAATTCGTCCTTCGCACGCAGCCTAAGCACACGAGCATCCCGTTTGAATCAGTACTTGTCAATTCCTGAGCTTGTAAAGGAATTGTATTGAATCCTACGGTCCATTATTGCGTTCATAATAGCCCACCACCAGAGCCAGTTGAAACCAGTCCATATTTTACATCCAATTTCTTTCACACGCGTTTTAATATTATCCCCCCAAATGGTCTCAGCATCTCACACCTATAGACATATAATATCTAGAGAGCCACGAAGAGTTTCTATAACAGTTAACAAACTGTTGGTTATGTTGCAGGAACCCTCGTTACAGAAGAGGGACTTCAGCGAGGCAGAACTTAAAGGTAAACTCGTATATTTATTTCGTTTTCTTTCACTTATTTATTCACGTGCCCACTTACTTAAATATTTATTTACTCCTTTACTTGTAGAGTGGCATTTACGAACTGTAACGCAATGTAGTTCGGAGACAACCCTGCATTTCGGAGGAAAATACCACTGGGGAAAGTCAGGAAAAACCTCAGTCAGAAGAGCTGTCTGTCGTTCGAGGCGGGATTTGAACCTGGGACCTATGAAATACGAAGCTTGATTGCGACGATTGGTTCCGAAACGTCTACACGCTACATCACATCGGTCAACATATAAAGACCCGTTTCGTCCCACAAAGAAACACATTACGTCTCCGCTACAAAGTCCAACCGGTTAATGCTGTTTAGGGAAACAGTCGCTGTTTATTGTGAGATCCATATGGAACACATAAACTGTGAGAGAGAGAGAGAGAGAGAGAGAAGAAGTGGTGGTGGTCATAGTGAGAGACACTACAATGGGGGGGGGGGGGAGAAAACACAGACTTTAA